GGGGGATGAAGAAGAAGCAGAAGAAAAGAATGAAGAATAAGAAGAAGAGGAGGATTTAAGTCACCAGAGAGGCGAGAAGAGGATTAAACCATTCTTGATCATCACGAAATAACGAGAGGAACTTTTACACGACGCTTGGAGTAATTACTTGAGGCGGCTGAGTTCAAGTAATTACTCTGAAGTTGGTTATAATGCGTGTGTAAATGACACTTGAGGAGGAGGCGTTGAGTGGGGGAGGGGTGGTGGGGGAGGGAGGGTGGTGAGTGGGGGGAGGGAGGGGTGGTGAGTGGGGGGGGGGGGGGGGGGGGGGGGGAGTGGTGGAGAGGTTGAGTGAGGAAAGGGAGAGTGAATGAGGGAGGGAGAGTGAGGATAAGTGAGTGAGTGGGAGGGTCAGTGAGGTAGAGAGTGTGTGAGTGGGGAAGGATCAGTTGAGGGAAGTAGGAAGACAGAGAGAAAGGGTCAGTGAGTGAGTGGGTTGAGGTCGACCTTGTCCCTCTTGTTCCCGACTGTACCTTCTGCTTCAAGTTCTTAATTTAGTTCACACTCATGGAGTCGACACCTGACTTATTTACTCCCTGGCCCCAGTCTGCTGTCGCTGGGCCACTTATAGGCGACACTTTTAGGCCCACTTATGGACCGGTACGTCGATCTAGTGGTCCAGATTCAGATATATACAGTCGATCAAAATAAACTATCTGAACTTGGGGTGATCGATGGGTTTCCGAATGAACACTACGACTCCTGTTGTCTCGGTAGGGTTGTCAAAATCCTTCGTCCGTTGTGTAATATTGTTTAACATAAAATCGTGAAGATATTTTTTTTTGGGGGGAGGTGTGTATAGAGCTCGTTATCTCATCTTATAAATGATCGTTAGTTCCATGGCCCGGGGTAACCCACAGTTCACCCAGCTGAGAGTGAGTACCTAATGGTTATAGTATAGGGAAGTGAGTCATTTTGGTCTCTCTCTCTCTCTCTCTCTCTCTCTCTCTCTCTCTCTCTCTCTCTCTCTCTCTCTCTCTCTCTCTCTCTCTCTCACCTCTTTCTCTCCTTTATTTTATTTATCACTGCATCATTACCTTTCTCTTTCTCTCCCCTCATCTCCTTGCCTCAGGGGAAATCCATCCCCGAGAGATGGGATGATTGGCCAGGTCCACCAGCTAATGGCCGAGGTGCCCAGTGTTTGTAAGCAATGAAAGAGAGTGAGGACCAGTGTGGGGTGAGGGAGGGCAGTGTGGGCGTGAGGAGGGGGAGCAGTGTGGGCGTGAGGGAGGGAGGAGGGAGCAGTGTGGGCGTGAGGGAGGGAGCAGTGTGGGCGTGGGGAGGGAGGGAGTGTGGGCGTGAGGGAGCAGTGTGGCAGTGTGGGCGTGGGGGGAGGGGAAGGGAGTGTGGGGCGTGAGGGAGGGAGAGCAGTGTGGGCGTGAGGAGGGAGGGAGCAGTGTGGGCGTGAGGGAGGGAGGGAGCAGTGTGGGCGTGAGGAGGGAGGGCAGTGTGGGCGTGAGAGGGGGAGGGGGCAGTGTGTGCGTGAGGGAGGAGGGGGAGCAGTGTGGGCGTGAGGGAGGGAGGAGACCAGTGTGGGCGTGAGGAGGGGGGAGTGTGGGGCGTGAGGGAGGGAGGGAGCAGTGTGGGCGTGGGGAGGGAGGGGACCAGTGTGGGAGGGAGGGGGAGGTGAGGGGGGAGGGACCAGTGTGGGCGTGGGGAGGGAGGGACCAGTGTGGGCGTGAGGGAGGGAGGGGACCAGTGTGGGCGTGAGGGGGAGGGAGGGAGGGACCAGTGTGGGCGTGAGGGGAGGGAGGGGAGAGCAGTGTGGGTGTGAGGGAGGGGAGGGGAGAGGGGGAGCAGTGTGGGCGTGAGGGAGGAGGAGGGAGGGAGCAGTGTGGGCGTGTGAGGGAGGGAGGGACCAGTGTGGAGGGTGTTGGAGAAGAGGAAGAGAAGTGTGGGCGTGAGGGAAGGTTGGAAGGGGAGCAGTGTGGGCGTGAGGGTGTTGGAGGAGGGAGGAAGAAATCAGTGTGGGCGTGAGGAAGGAGAGACTAGTGAGGGAGGTAGGGAGGCGTGAGAAGACTAGAGGAGGCAAGAGACTAGTGTGGGCGTGGAGGAGGTAGAGAGGGAGAGGACTAGTGTGGGCGGGAGGGAGAGAGGAGGGAGGGAGGGAGGAGACTAGTGTGGGCGTGAGGGAGAGGGACTGTGTGGGCGAGAGGGAGAGGGACTAGTATGGGCGTGAGGGAGAGAGGGGAGGAGGAGACTAGTGAGGGAGGGAGGGAAGCAGGGAGAATGAGAGGCACGAGCCGGCCACATGATAAATATCGCGTATCGTCCTCTCAAGAGTGTGTGTGTGTGTGTGTTACCTTGACTGCATCATAAAGGAGAGGTCTTGATTTATATCCTGGCTGTCTCTACAAACCACCCGGAGGTCTTATTGAATCACACCCCACCCCACAACCCCACCCCACCCCACATTAGGACCAAGTACATTGCACCATCAGGACAGGACACGTCACTTGGTAGCCACTTGTTGTGTGTAAACAGACGGGACGGACAACAATGGGATGAGGGACGACTTAATAACAGGAGAGAGAGAGAGAGAGAGAGCAGATGAAGGGTGTGTTTGTGTGGAAGAGAAAGTGTGAGAGAAAAGGGGGGGATAGATAGAAAGTGAGTAAGAGAGAAAGGGAAAGAAGAAGAAGAAAAAGAGAGAGATTTAGATTTTTTCAGGAGTAAAAATCACCACACAAGACAATTGAAAGGAACATCTTATAGTCCAACTCTTCAGTGACGCCTAACCTAAGCTAACCTAACCTAATCTAACGAGTCAATAGAGAGGAGTCAGGTGGTTGCTGTGAGTTAATTATTGCTGTAAGGAGAGAGATGAAAGGTGGGGTCAGACAGGTGATGCTAATTGGATCTTCCTGTCAGGTATATATGCAAGTGTATATAGATCACCTGGTAATTAGCTTAACCCTTCACCCCCCTTACCTTTCATTTGGGTTCTATCACCTTGAAATTAACTACTGGTACCTTAACCCCTAACCTGACCTGACCTGACCTAATACAACCCAGCCCAGGTGTTTTATCATCAGGTAAAATAAACTCTTGGGGGGCTAATGTTCAGGTGATCCGTGTAGACTACAGTAGCCTCACCAGTCGTCATAGGGTGAGGAGGTGGGGGGCGTCTTGGTAGTGAAGATTATTGCAATGTTTCCTTGGGTATACGTGTTGAATGAGGCCTCGCTGACGTCATCACTGGTCGGCGGTGTTAGTAGAGAGGTGATATTGGCGGGCGAAACGTACATGTGTTTGTGTGTGTGTGTGTGTGTGTCAACGAGTATCAACACACGAACAGAGAGAGAGAGAGGTAGTGTTGGTGGTGGTGCTGGTGACGACTCCTTCAGCCACAAGGGCCTCACACACCTCACTATCACACTGGATGCTGTTGAGTGTCTTGGGTAAATATTGACATTGGTGCCACGTGTTGATGTGTGGTAATGAACAGGTGATCTGTACTATCACACGACGCACTCTTTCTTTCTTTCTTTCTTTCTTTCTTTTTATTTTGTAGCCAACGTGAAAGCTTTATTTCTTATTGTAAATCTCTCTCTCTCTCTCTCTCTCTCTCTCTCTCTCTCTCTCTCTCTCTCTGGTTACTGTTTGTCTGTGGCCCAACGTCCAAAACTTGACTTAGCGTCCAAAGATCAAAGATTTATATTACGTTTCTGTCAAAATTGTTGAGATTGAACCAAATATCATTGTACGAGAATCGACTTATGAATTTTTATTTATTTTTTAATTTTTTTTATATACGACAATTAGCACACCCTGTACCGCTAGTGTGTTTTTTAATCTTAACGTTGGAGAGTTCAACGTGATTTGGCAACGTTCTACTTGAGGCATAACACTGGCAGTTAACCGTGATAACCGTTTAGTGTGTGTGTGTGTGTGTGCGCGCGTGTGTGTGCGCGTGCGCGTTAAACTGAACCTCAAAGCCGACACTTTTATACGAGGATAATGGTCGCTTATACTATATCACCTGTAGTAGTAATTATACAATTATTTGGTCTGAGATACGCGCCGGAGGGAAGCTCAAGTCGACGCCAGCCAACCCAACGTTATTCTGGCGGGAAAACATCCTTCCCACGAATCAATTACAGTAAACTGTATTTGTAAAAATAAATAATTTAACGTATTGTGCAACTAAAAGTGTTGGCGTAATGTGTGTGTAGAAGAAGAGGCTTCATGTCAGTGAGTATCCGGTGTGGGTGGATAGTGGCGTTATCCTCACCAGTTTGTCTCACACGAACTACCATTACGTTACAGGATATGCAAGTGTCGGCATTCTGGCTCTGGCTTGCGCTTCGTCTAACACAACCTGGAGGGGGAGGGGTAATAATTTGACAACCATTGTACTTAGGCATTTATTACCGCTTTATATACGATGAATTTATATTTTTATCATAAATCATATATCCGTTGTAGTTTTATTTGTCTTGTTTGCTTTTATATACGCATTTTTCAATTCTCTTCCCCCGGCCTTGACCACTTACAGTATGTGAAGCTCTTGTTTGAGATATAGTACAGTAGTTTATTAATTAAAGCTCCCTTGGTGAGATAATGGAGGTACATTTTACCTATTGCCGATAAGACACCCGCAGCATGTTCAATGTAGCGTCAATGTAAGTAGGTCCTTAGGCTTGTGTTACTGAAGTTGCTGTGTGTTGGGGAGGGAGGGGACTGGGTGTTATTATTTCAATGTTTCGTTTTGATTGTGTTGTTCTGATTCTGAAAAAAAATATCAAGACTAATATTGGGTTTTCGATTATTATTATTATTATTATTATTATTATTATTATTATTATTATTATTATACGTAGCGAGCAAAGGTAACGAACAGAGCCAGAGTGCCGTTGATAATACTGCTCTCTCGAGTGACACACACACGTCTCCCTGCCCCCCCCCCCCTTTCCCCCCACCAGTGTTCTCCACTCTCACAACATCCTGAGAGAGGAGTGGTGTAATGTGTAGTGGGCTGCTGTAGGTGCCGGAGACACTACAGTTACTACCCAAAAGACGCTGGACAGGGTAGTGTGACTCGTGCTGGTGTTGAACCGAGTGAGGAGGGAATAAAGCTCAGTGCCGTGTGATTGTGAGACGTTACGGAAAGGTTGTGTGTGTGTGTGTGTGTGTTGTGATAAGTGAGGTTGTTGTCGTGTTGTTGAACGAGCGAGCGAGCAACCATGAGCTGGCAAGGACCTCCCCGCCCTCGGTCTAACAGCAGCAGCGAGTGGAAGACATTAGGTAACGAGAAGACTCACCTGCCTATCTTCGTTACACTGTCTGATCCTCAGTTGTGTTCCGCCAAGGTGAGCCAAGTCTCTTAACCCACCTGCCTCCTCACCTCTCTTACCCACCTGCCTCCTCGCCTCTCTCACCCACCTGCCTCCTCGCCTCTCTCACCCACCTGCCTCCTCGCCTCTCTCACCCACCTGCCTCCTCGCCTCTCACCCACCTGCCTCCTCGCCTCTCTCACCCACCTGTATCCTCGCCCCTGTCACCCATCTGTCTCCTCGCCCCTGTCACCTATCTGTCTCGTCGTCTCACTTCAGCTCCCTACTTCCGTTTTCTATGAAGTTGTATCACTCGAGTTTCATTACCGCATGGTTGAGGCCCATCAGAGATGTGACCTCACTGGTATGGGGTAGGTGATGGGTACAAGACTTTTTGTAGAGAAGGAGGAGTGAAAGAAGATTGGAGGTGGGGGAAGGAAGTTATAGTTCGGAAATTTAGGAGGTAGGAGAGGGCAGGCTGACCACCTTGCTGTGGGTTAGCTGAGCTAATAGTGTGTTAGGGTTGTGTCTTGGGTTAGTTATTTTTTGTCGGCACAGGCACTAGACATCCTACCCTATACCATGTATGGGTGTTTTGAGGGCCTTATTTCATATTCCGCCGACCCTACTGGCGGATGCTGGTCTAGGGAGGTTGTCTATTGCCTGGCCGTATAGATCGGGGGAGGTAATGGACCTCTTGAGATTTGGTGACGTGCATGATCCAGGGGGGGGGGTGGTATATAGCATCGTGCAGACAGGTAAATCGAAAATGAATCTCGTTTATTTAGCCCAGAATGATAAAAGTATAGGGTGATAAAAATGTCATTAGCCTAGAATGATATAGGTTTAGGGTGATAGCACTTTATAGCCCACTATAATACAGGTATAGGGTGATTGAAAAGTTACTGTGCACCTGCAATAATTAACAGTATAATTAAAATAAATGTAGGTATAGTAAATTGTGAATTATTGCAAGTTCACAGGGAGAACTTTTTGACCACCCTGTATAAAGTGAGTAACAACAACATTGATATGGCTGGACCTTTCGAGTGCCGTGGCCATCTTGAGACAATAAATTCTGTACAATTATCTCCAGAAAGGTTGTTTAAATATATATATATATATATATATATATATATATATATATATATATATATATATATATATATATATATATATATATATATATATATATATTGTTTCCTCCATGAGAGAGAGAGAGAGAGAGAGAGAGAGAGAGAGAGACTCGCCTTGCCTTCCATATCTATAGCAGTGGTGTTGATGTCAGCTCATGGTGCACCTGAGTACAGTAACTTACCATTTGTGTCATCAACTCTCGCTGAATAATATAAATAAAAGACCTCCTGTGTGTATTCTTAATCCAGGAGTGGTGGTCGTCTTTTAAGTGTCAATGCATGTAATTTATTTTTTCTGTTGTTTATGAGTACGTCTTGTCGATTTTAAGTCGTTTATGAGTGCGTCTTGTCGTTTTAAGTAATTTATGAGTACGTCTTGTCGATTTTAAGTTGTTTATGAATGCGTCTTGTCGTTTTTAAGTAATTTATGAGTATGTCTTGTCGATTTTAAGCCGTTTATGAGTGCGTCTTGTCGTTTTTAAGTAATTTATGAGTACGTCTTGTCGATTTTAAGTCGTTTATGAGTGCGTCTTGTCGATTTTAAGTCGTTTTTTAGTGTCTTATCAATTTTAAACCAGTTGTGAATTCAATTTTTACAAAGGAAGTATACAAATAGAAACTGTTATCTGTGTATCGCTATGCTGGACGTGGCATCAGTTCACTCGAATGTTAATGTTGATTTTTATTTTGTTTTTGCCTTGTTAACGCTGTGCTATTTATTACTAAGAAACTTCAAATGAAAGATAATAATATTGGTGTTTTACGAGACTACCGTGAGGAAAATTATGGTTATCGAAGTTGCAAACAAAATTATTGTTGAAGTTGTAAAAGAATAGTTATTATTGTGAAAGAAATATTAGGTCGAAATTAAAATGCTGTTCATGTCGGGGAATTGTATCACTAAACGTAAGGTAAAGAATTGTTTTCAAGATGTTTAGGCATTAGGCAGTAACTAGTAACGTACAGTATAATCTGGAGGGTGTGTTGTGGTGAGGGTTAACAGGGCACAGACAGTGGTGGTGCTCGTGGCAGGGGAAGTGTTACCTCATACTGTACATGGGATTTTCTCTCTCTCTCTCTCTCTCTCTCTCTCTCTCTCGTTATTGTAGTACACTTATCTTATCTCTTTATGAAATTAATCCCCGGCAAAGAAAGCAAAGAAATTCATAATTGATTCTAAACGTGGCAGAGAAACTAGACAAGTAATTCCTTCAAAGAAAACGGAGGAAATTTTGCAATAGGGTTTAATCAGTCCGTCTGGTTGTTTGGTAAGTTTCGTTTCCGGAGCTTTTCTCAAAAACTGTGTTAATTATCTGGGTAAAACTTGGCTTACGGAATACTGTAGTTTCTACCAGCATTTTTCTCTGTCCAATGTTTGTGTACCTTGCGCACTCTATGTACACAAACCGAATAAATGAATTTGTTTGACGATTTTACTGAATATCTGTCTGCCTGTCTATCTTAGTTATATCTCCCCCCATCCATCTATATATATATATATATATATATATATATATATATATATATATATCTAATCTATTCTAATCTAACAAATTGTACTTGGTGTTGGAGAGGATAAACAAACGTCACGGATAAGCCTGAACAGTCATAGAATTTAGTGGACAAGAGGGCATATATTATTAGTCATGTCTGTTAGTCTATCCGTCCCTCAATAATTTGGGAAAGGTTTCATGTCTCGTTATGCAATTTGTTACGGCGCTCGTATCACCATTATCTAGGAAATTTATCGTACTTTAGAAATCAAGATGGAATGTCAAGAAAATTATAGTGGTCGATTGGGGAAATTTTATTTTTATATTTAAGAGAATGAAGGCTTTTAGTATTCAGAGTATCAGTGTGTATGTAGTTATGTCTTGATTAACTTTTTGACCGCGAGGAGATTCGTAGCTTGATCTTTTTTTTTTCTTTTTGGAGGGGGATTTGTAATGTTTTTCGAAGGGTCATGTCTGAAAAACTAGTTTTTTCTTTTTCATCAGCGAAAGCCATTCATGTCCAAAATTTGTTGGAGAAAGATTATACTACCTGTATATTAAGAGAAAATTTGACTTTATGAGCTTGTATAGTCGATGAATTTTTAAGAAAGTTTAGGGATATTAATTATTGGTACTAACTTTATGGGTTGGGGAAGGGATTATTTTTTTATTTTATATTTTTTTAAGAGCCCTGACTAAGGAAAAAAACTTGTCATTAAATTCTTTTTTTTTTTTTAGGATGGTTAGTGTTACCCGAATAATACACAAGAATGGGGGTATTGTATTTTTTTTCTCTCTATTGTAGCAAAGGCCACACAAAACTACATGGCTTTGATATATGTTGCTCGGGAGACTCACATTACCAGTCACATCCAATCTTTCTCTCCCCCTGATCTAGCTGTTGCATAATTCTGTACAGTACTAATATTGAAATGTGCCTTTTTATGAAGTGTTGTGATATCCTACCCTAGGAACTCCCTGGCTGCACATCAGTACAGTATTTGTAAAGAGGAACCCAACATATGTCACCAGCCCCAAAGGCACAAGAAAATAAAGAAATTTTCCAGTGTAATTTTTTTTTTTTTTTTTTTTTAATTTTCACGACTTGTCAGTGTACAAGCTGGTCGGGCGGTCAGGCTTTTCAGTGTCATGATCCTCCTTTTTCTAACGTTAACACTACTGGAGGAAACTGACGAGTGCTGTACCCGAGAAAGCCAGCCATGTTTGGTAGGGTCACACTGGATAACATCCTTCACACATCTAACTTTGGGGTCGAACCTGGGATACAGTAGTGAGAGAGAAGGGCACTACCACTGTATTTTGTGCCTTAGTGGTATCTAACCATTGTGGACATGATTAACTAGCTGGTTAATTCTTTGCAGGTTGAAGGACCGAGTGGGTCACGGGGACGCAGGATGGACCGGCTACGGCGAAGCTTCCGGGAGAGTTTTCGGAAGAAGAAGGATCATCATCATGTAACGGAGGCATCCAAACCTCACCAGTGGCAGACTGATGAGGCTTCTGTGAGAGCGGGCACGTGCTCCTTCCCCGTCAAAGTAAGCACATGTCCTTTTGCTTCCGATTATTATTAATGATAAATTAAAACTGTACAGTAGTTGGCTAGCCCAAAAGTCATGTCCAACAAGGATTATTATAAAGTAATGCCCCCATGGGATTCTGAATGATTACTACTATGCTATTTTCCACACTACAATACAGGTAATGTTTTTCTCACCCGAGGTAAATGATGACAGCAAAATTCACACTAGAGGGTGAAGTTGATATTTACAGCGTACAGTACAATATACAGAAGAGATGCTCTACTTGATCTCTCTGTGTGTGTTAACTTTGCCATTATCTTATACCTGTGGGAGAAAGGTTTTAGTAATCATTCAGAACTTCAGAGTCCCATGGGGGTGCTACTTTATGAAAATCCCCATGATGTGCAACTTTTGGTCCACCCAAGTAACATGAGAGTTAACAGATCTAATATGAGATAATTTTGTTTTCCATGAACATTCCCTGCTGGATGTACAGTGAAGGAATTTTATTTTCATCTAACATCATAAATACTTGTGCAGTACTGTATATAATTTGAGTTTAAGTAGAATTTGCTTAATTATTCCAGACCACTGTAATTCATGATCTATTTCAGTATCTTGGTTGTGTAGAAGTGTTCGAGTCTCGAGGAATGCAAGTGTGTGAAGAAGCTCTAAAGGTACTCAGGGTAAGGGCTTTAATGTTTTATCATAGTTTTTGAGAGTGTAGTACTGTACAGTATTAGAGACTTGTGGTACAGTACAGAAAGAGATAAGATTATTTGGGGAATAAATCCAGCGTTGAAGGGTGGAACACTTAAGAATGAAGTGTTATCGATTTTAATGTTACATTTATCTGTATGGAGTATGAGTAATATCAGAGGGACTGAGTTTTAGTAGTGATCAAATTAATTTATGATGAAATGTTAATATACAACAAATAAATCCTTACTGCACTAATCAATGCATAATTTTCTTTTTGTACTGTATAGCAGAGGTTAGTTGTGTGTTAGCCTATTGTACCAAAATCACTGATGATGTAGGGAAGAATTTCAGATCTACGGTATTTTTTTTTTACAACTGGCTTACTGAAGTGCTGTGATTTAAACTTCTACAGCATATATGATCAATGTTGTGTTTAGTTTTTGCTTCTTAAGTATGTTTAAAAAATTTTTATATGAGTAAGTTTAGAGTTAATACAATCCATGACTTGCAGAATTCTCGTCGAAGACCACTAAGAGGGATGCTTTATGTATCTGGCGACGGACTACGAGTGGTAGACGATGAAACTAAGGTAAGTAATAAAAGTCACATTAACAATTAATGCTTTTGTTTATTGAAATTCTTTATGTATGATTGCGTTTCTCCATGTATTATCCTTCGTATTTATACATGTAATTCAAAGCTTCATATTTATTTGTGTAATTCAAAGCTTCGTACACTACTGTATATATATACCCTGTATGTACTTTATTAAAAATAAAAATAAAAAAATCTTAAACATGATTTTTGTAACTTTTCAGGGGCTGATTGTTGACCAGACGATAGAGAAGGTTTCTTTTTGTGCACCTGATCGTAATCATGAAAAAGGTTTCTCGTACATCTGTCGAGACGGAACAACGAGACGATGGATGTGCCATGGTTTTGTTGCTGTTAAGGAAACGGTGCGAGAAAATTACTACTTTGTGACTTTCGGTGTACAGTAGGGTCGGGATATATCACGAGATAAGGTCCAACGATGTTCTCTATACAGGTGTTCCTCTACTTAAGAATGTTCAACTTACAGACTTTCAGAGATACAAACATTATCACTGAAGGGGGTTACCTGCCAGAACAGGTGTTTAATGTGGATGAGACTGGATTATTTTGAAGAAAATTCCAGATAGAACAAACATTACCTAAGAGGAGAAGAACGAGCCAATTTTTAAGGCTGTATTAAACAGTATAGCTGTACTAAATATCCATAATCTTTTAATTTTTTACAATATGTTTGGTATCTACAAGAGTAAAGTTAGACTTACAAACAAGCCTCAGGAACGTAACTCGTTCGTAAGTAGAGGAGCACCTGTATACTAAATCGCGATATATAGTTACAGTCGACCCTCGTTAATTCGGACCCCTTTAATTCGGATTTCGGATAAATCAGACGAAATCTGAACTGTCCATATCAAATTTCTGGTTCTGGGATTGTCCCAGTTGCAATTGGGGTTGCAATTTCAAATTCTGTGTCACTGCTAAGGAATAACAAAGTCTCTGATGCAGTCTAAGATTAAGAGAAAACGGACGACTCAGGCGTCCTGAAGTGAGAGAAAACGGACTCCTATGATGGGGCACTCAAATAAACACACATAGCTGTATAATGCAATATTATGCAATATTAACCCCTAAATCGGTTAATTTGGTCAATCGGCTAAAACGGACACCCTCCCCCCCCCTATTAGTCCGTTTTAACGAGGGTCGACTGTACATGTAATCAATGGGGAAAATTGGGTTAGGTTTAAGAAGGTCCAAAAAAGTGACCAAACTTGACTTAACGAGTTCATTTTCTTACGAACTAAAGCACCAATGAACACTAGACTCCGCAGCTGACGCATCATCCTGGGAACACCAGACTCGGCAGCAGACGCCACACTGCCACCCTCACTTGACAATCCCACACCTACATAAATGAACACCAAAAATATTAGGTACAATATTAAATCTTTTCCATTAAGCTTTCCATTATCTTCACTTTTCACGTCACTAGCAACCATTTACACTCGCTTTGGAAATCTGCACCAGACTCGGCAGCTGACGCGCCATCCTGAGAACAACAGACGACACACTGCCATCCTCACTTAACAATAATAAATGAACTAACCAAAAATATTAGTTACAGTATTAAATCTTTTCCATTAAGCTTTCCATTATCTTCACTTCACTTTTCACGTCACTAACAACCATTTACACTCGTCTTAGAAGTCGTAATCTGCAGCAGAGTCGGCTGCTTTTTCGTCACTCACTCGGAAAGACTGAGCGGGCAAGCGTGAAGGTGTGAGCAAATAACGCATTTGTTTGCCATGGCGGTACATTTGAAATATTTCCTGCCCAATTTCCCTCGCGAAATAAAAACTTAATCGCTATACTATACAGTATAGGAAAATTTTGATAATTTTGGTAGCCACTATATAAAAAAAAAATCTTTATATAAAGTCGCGATATATCCCGACCCTACTGTAATTGATAACTAGAGAGTTGCTCAGTACTACTTGTTAGCTGAAAGAAAGTGTATGACGTGATAATGGTTCTGCTTATTATGAAATGTTGCTGGAGACATAATGATGATACATTTAAATGTTGCCTGGCCCTGTGTTGTGTTTCAGAATAATTCATATTGTTATTATGTTGTCTCATGAAATGTTAGATTTTTGTATTTACTGTATTTTGTATTCCTTGGTCTAGGGTGAGAGATTAAGTCATGCTGTTGGCTGTGCTTTTGCTGCCTGTCTGGAGCGCAAGCAAAAGAGAGATAAGGAGTGTGGAGTTACTATGTCATTTGATCCCACCACGTCCACCTTCACCCGATCTGGTTCCTTCCGACAAATGACCGTCACAGAGAGGTTGTCTGATCCCCAGGAATGCAAACCAATTGGTTAGTAAATTTTATAAGCCTTTGTATTTAAATTAATTTTATGGTTAAGTCTTAGGAGTTAGCAGGGGTTTGGGAAGGTTTGATGAACAAACAAAGTTGTTTTTGTATGTCACATCAGTGTCCTGTACAGTATTTGTTTTTCATGTTTTAGGGATGCAACAAGGTACTCTTAAATGCTCATAAAATAGCAGGACATGTTTCGCCCTGGGAGATGCTGTACACTTGAGCCAGTCCTTGGTTAAGTGACATTCAGCATTCACCACACTCTAGAGATTGTGTACTGTACTATTTCATCAGGGTGAGTGTAAGTGGTAGTGGTGGTGTTGTAAGGCATGAGTGTGTAAACTTATACATTTTGTTGATAAACTGAAGTAGCCACCATCCTCACTTGCTACACTTCAGCCTTGGGAGGTGTATGGAGGTTAGCTCATAATTTTTAAATAGAAAATTTGTCTTATGGTTAGGTTACAGTACTTTGTATCACTTTATTTATTTTACATGTTTAATAGAACATGGCTGTAGTAGAAGTACTAACGATGTTCATAAAATTGATAGAAATTTAGTGCCTTGAGAAACACTCCTAAGTAAACCTAGCAATTTACAAATTTCAGACCCCCTCACCCCATCTTCCCCAGTTAGTCTTATATATCGGGACTTTACATTACTTAAAATGATCAGGACTAAATTAGGAATAAATTAATACAAAACTTAAAATTCTCAATATTACTGTTGCAGAACCTGTGCCAGTGAAGAAGGTTGAGAATCCTCATGCCATTGCCAGACCACATGCTACACCACTTATGCTGCAACGTCAAGGCTCCTTTAGGGTATTCCAGCATCTTAGCCAGGTAACTCTTTGGTCTGATCTTCATTTTCCTGTTTATTTTTCCATTCCACCAATATGGCCTTTAAGTCACTACAGTAAGTCCTCAATATAGACAAGGGATGCATTTCTAAAAGCCCTCATAAAAATCAAATATTGTAGTTAAATGGGAAAAAATTAGGATGCATTCCATAACCTAAAATAAAACTTCCAGACCAATTTTCGAGAAATAAACCATAAAACAAATTAATACAATATTATTTTAAAAATAATAGATAAAGCAAGTGTACAGTACAGTGTACTGTACTTAACAATAAAAGCAGATACCTGTACTTCATCTTGGGTAGACTAGATGATAGAGGTGGTGGTAGAGGTTTTACATTGTGGGTTATGGTGTTGGAGTGACATCTGCAGTCATTCAGGGTTGGAATCCATATCAGGGAGTATGACATCTCACATAAGGTTGAATTTTGCTCATATTGATTGAATTCCGGGTCGGAATAGGGTCTTTGCATAAGAGTGAATTCCCATATGCTGAACTCGCTTATATCGACAACTTACTGTATGTGTGTATTTATATATATGGTTGAAAATTTTTTACAGTTCATACATAGATATAATCATTTGTGATCATATGCACAAGACCTTGTTCATGCATTAGTATTTTAGGAGATTCTTGAGGGTACAGATTTTGAAGAATGACGATGGTGAGTCTTTTGTACATCATCAGAAGTAGCTTGCCAATACTGAATGTGTTTTTGTAGATTTGTATCCTCAAAGTTTCATGTAATAGTTCCACCTCTTCATCTTTGTGATATAATGGTACAGTATAGTTATACTGTATATGATCACCTGGCTGCTCTCCCACGGCATATCAGTCAGGTGTGTAGCCAGATGTTTCACTGTTTTAGTATTAATGGTTATACTCAGGTAGAATTCCTCCTCCCCCCCTTTTTATTGAAGTTTTCCACAAATTTCTCGTCAGTATAGCTTCTGTATTTCAAGTACCTCAGGAATGTCTGTTTTCTTTTCAGTCTCCATTCAAGCGGCAGTTGTCATTACGATTAAACGAATTACCATCTAATTTGGAGAGGACACGTTCTATGTCACTAGATAACAACGCTGTCAACGCTGCGGTCACCAACAACAATAACCAGCCGCCAGGTAAATAAAACGCCTTAAGAATAGTGTTTCTTTTCCCCTGATGTTTCTTTCAGAGTTGCAGTACAGTACTGTAAATGTTTATATGCTGTTCAGGCGCCGATTTCTAAAATAACGCTACAATGCTGATAATTTTGAACTAACACAACAATTATTGGAATGGGAAGCAGTGAGAGACTTGTGTAAATGTTAAAGAATGATAAAAGTGTGTAATTAAAGTGTGTATATACAGTATATATATAAATTCCTTTAGTCTCTCTCTCTCTCTTTCTCTCTCTCTCTCGCTCTCTCTCTCTCTGTTAACTTGGGAGCTTAAAAATAAAAAAATTATAATCCTTTGGAATTCACACAACTTATGCCCATGCAAACTTTATTTTATTTAGCTTCAGATTAATTTCATTTGTATATTTATTGCTACAGTGAATTTTCTTTCTCAAACTCAAATATATAACAGTATGTAGAACTACCCCATGTATACAGTATTGTACAACTCCAATCTACAGTTTGAGTTTCACATTAAGGTAAATGCCAATGATTCAGTTTTAAGGCTGTGATGCATGGCAATATTTTAGCCAGCTGTGAATTGCAAGGATTATAGTAAAGTGAAGTCCTACATAACCTTTAAATGCTGAAGTGTCCATTTCCTGAAAAGTTGTATGGTATAAACATAAGCCCATTGGTGAAATTTTAGCATCTCCCAAACCCTTGTTTTTGTGTGTGTGTTTTTTTAGGTAGTTGTTGAAGCCATATATCATCTAGGGAGTGAATTTTGGATATTTCAAGGTTTATCATTGGGTTTCATTTGTGCTTTTCACTTGATCAAAACAAGAGTGACAGATACTGAAGAATGTTCCCAAAACTCTTCAGTCACACATCATACACAATACAAACTTGGGGTATCACAAAATCCAACAGCAGTGATGAAAACATTACCCATATAATTTAAGACAGCATCATTTAAAACTGACCTGAAATATAGGTAACAAAATATTTCTTATTACTTTTCTACCAGTATGGCTCAATGGAAGGTTTAAATTCCTCGGTATTCCAATTTTTTACAAAGCACAACGGTTCTTCATGTATAGGTTGGTTTCAAGAGACTAATGAAAGTATTGTTTAATGAAGGTTTGAGGCACTACAACAGCTGGTCCTCTGTTTCTTCACCGATGAGATGTATAGACACTCGGTAATTCAGTTTTTACTATATACTTGTACATTACTCTAAGGTTCTCATACTCTTCTTCTGAAATCCTAAGATGTCACCATTTTCTTCACTGCTTTAATTTTTCTGACTCGTAATCTCACCCCTTAGGCCGAGTCCCGCGCTCTAAGACAACCTGTTCATTTAGTAAGTAAAGAGGAGGCGGCCGCATTGATTTACACACAATGTTGCACAGCACATGTACATGGCAGTCTCCAATGGCACTTTTGTCATGGCTGTAATTGATCACACCGCCTACTATGTCCTCCTCTAAATTTAAGCAACATCTTAAATAAGAACATCACAGACTCAAACAGTAAGACCAGCCCTAGTTTCACTATTACAGCTTTGGAAACTCGTAAGTTTATTTTTAAATCTGAATTTTCTCACCTCTGTTGTAATCTGCGTGTGTGATTAGATTGTCTTCAGTCAGTATTTAACTTGGTCTGCATTTCTTTAGCAGGTAATAATGGACAAAGAGGTTCTAAGAGAATTTTTTTAAGTTATATTATCCTTCCCAGTAAAGGAAAGGGATTAATATATGTTCACATAATTAGTGCAAGTATTTTTAGAATTTTGTCAGATACTTTTTGAATTCTGTATCTTATTTACAAGTCCTATGGTATAGAAATAAAATACTGTACTGTGTACAGTATTGAAGGATTCTAGAATAATTTGAAACTCGCATATTTATCAACTGGAATTTCAATTGATCACTGTTGTAATCCCCAAATAAACTGAACATATAGTTTACAGTATTTGGATTAGTTTCACTGGCTTTGCTTATGAAACTTTTGAAATGTACAGTATTTAAAGATTACATCTTCATTTAAAACTATTATTTACATGAAATTTATTGCGCCTTATTAATAACAGTCATTGGACTTTTGTAATTCCTTAGCTGACGTTTAGTTAAGTTTTATTAAATGCATATTTAATCTTTGGCAGAGCAATTACTTCTATATGTTGCCATTCATAGTGCAGTTTTGATCATTCTTGTTATCTTAAGTAGTATATAGACATTTTATCAGTGTTTGACAATATTGCTGGCTTTAGTTATTTCATTACTCGCTATATTTATCACATCTTATTTATGTGCCCTTGTTTCTTATATTCTTGCTCATACTTATTATTATTTGTATTACTGACTTTTAATGCTAGCTTTTAGCAGTTGAGGAGCGTACTGTCTTTTCATCCTCAGTAGTTAGTTTTGATGTACAGTTGCACTTGTAGACTATCTAACCTGCTATTTGTTTCATACTTTTTTGTTTCTTTGTTGCCAAATTAGTCCTAATAGTTTCATTAACTTTTGTTTCTTTACAGCACTTCACATTATTATACAATACAGTACAATTCTGTACAGTATATGTTTTGGTTCATTATTTTTGTTTTTAACTATCCTGACTAATTTATCTTTTTATTCACACGATTTCATATTAGTACAGTACAATACCAGCGTCAGTACTAATGATATGATGCCCTCTGTAAGTGACTTGCATATTATAGCATTAAATGTGTGGAGTTGAAAACCCAGGTAAACCCCTCAACAGTAGTGACTAGGGCTTAGTGGCTAGTTAGTTACAACCTTCCAGTCATAACTAAGCTTTCTAAAAGGATCTTTGTCAACAACTATCGCCATTTGCTGTAGAAGGCAAGGAGTTGTGATGTCATACTAGGGTGAATCTGATGCATTTTCTGGAATAACTTGTAGGTTAATTTTTTAATCAAATTTTGTCCAACTTCATGGTCTTGGACCTTGAGGTAATTTCCTCTCATAAGGTTTATTGTGTTCATCTTTGTGCTCTCGATTAGTGTACAAGGTAACCTCTGAGAATCCATCACCTGCTGGTTTTAGGTTATATTACATCTTAGACCCTAACTCAGCAGAGCTTAGTTGGGATCTGGATGAGTGATTCTCTTTTCCTGTCAGTTTCAACCCATTATCCATATTCTGAGTTACTGGGACCTTGCCATCAACATTATGCAACTGTAAAAAAGGGGTTTTAACCCAGTTGAAATCCCAGGAATGAATATTTAATGCATCATGAATCTCTATTCACTAAAATATTCTCAAGTCTTTATTTGAGTTTTGACAGTCTAGTTGACACCAGGTCATAAATCATTATTGATCCAGAATCCATTTTTACTATCAACTAAACGATTCAGCTCCCCTCATCCCTATGAGCAGATTGGAAATTAGCTGGAACTGTGATTAATATCAAGTATGCCAGCTGTGACTGAGCTTTCAGTTGATAGGTGCATTGTGTTGTTTCCACTGATCCTTTTTAGACTTACCATAATTATGACAGGAATAGCAAGCAATTAATGAACCAGCCCCAGGCACAGCTGTAGAAGGGTTAATTTGAGGTCTTCACCACCTAAATTTAGTGCTATGATATGCAAGATGCTTAGTTTGGTCTTGGTCATATGGTAGGAGTTTAGGATCAATCCTTCATTGGTTATATTATGATTATTTGGCACCATCGAAATATATTGCACAGTACATGTTCTGTTCGTTAGTTTGTGCTTGTGTGGATGGATTTGCGTGTTTATTATTTCAGAGAGTCCCCAGCCTCCACCTCGCACTCACAGGAATAGACTCCACTCGCTCCCAAATGCAGTTAACAGTGAGTGTCCTGGCATGGCTTGCAATGGGCTACTATATCTTCTTTTGCTTATATGGACAAAGAGCAAGGAATGTGCTCTGTTTCACTCATTATCTTGCATCATACTTACAAGCACTTGTTACCTTAATTAAAGACAGTTATTGCAAGCTGATAATATCCCACATGATTGGAATTATTTTTTTTCACTTATTTGGGGATGACGGACATAGCCAAAGTTTATAATTATGAGAAATGTGAAAATTGATGGATTAATAATTAGAACACCGTTCATGAAGGGATTAACATGGCTTAATGATGACTGAGTACAGTACTCAGTCCCATAACTGTTATCTTGAACTAGCTAATAATAACCATCATCTTCAGTTAGTCTTTTATAGGATGTTCAGGAACAACATAAAGATTAGCAACCTTGGCAAAGAGCATAAAATGTGTAAGATTTTCATTGATCAAGAAACTGCAGCATGAAAGTACCGTAATCATTTGGTAGGTGTTGTCCACCACCCTGCCACACCATCAGCTAGACCACAGTGACCCTCATCTTACTCCAAAAAGATAACCCCTTTTTCTGAATGTATAGAAATTGTATGTAGAACAATGTGTAGGTTAGATTACTTCACATCATATTATTTACTCTCACAATTAAATTATGTTGCAGTAGAAATACACATAACGTAACTAGTATCTTCAGTCATATCTACTTAATACTGTACAGTGCAGAATACGATGAAAACCAAAGGGTTTGAAAATCATCTCAATAAATGAGGGGAAGTAATGAGTTTTTATGATCAGACACTTAGACCAGTATGCATATTCTTTTTTTGAGAGAACCAGAGACTAAGAGTACACAGACACACCGTTAATGAATATACAATTTTGAGTTGAAGCAGCTGCACCATCTCTGTTCTAACCACAGTTGTTTTTGAGTGTTTCTAACTGAAACTAAATCTACAAGTTGCTGTAGATTATGCAGCCTCATGTATGCCTGTGTGTGTGTAGATACCCCCTGTACAGTAATATTTAAGTACAGTATGTAAATTTGCAGGAGTGTTGCACCTGACCTGTATGTTACCTTTGCTAACACTACTTATACTTTGCATGTGTGTGTGTGAAGCTTTAAATAAATCTAAATACTTTGCTTTTATTTGCTTTGTGTTATGCAAGATAAGATTTGTCACAGGATAATCATCTTACACACTTGTAGAATTACTCATTTTTTCATGTAAAGTAAACTTGAGGTAAGGTTACATAAATCTTTTCACAGTAGACTCTTAAAAGTATCTTCAGAAATTCATTCTTGATTTGGTGTTTAGCTGAAGTTAATATCAGTAAGAAATTATGTGTCCAGTGTTTAAAATGTTTTGTCAGCATTATTAAGTTTGGTTTAGAGATTACTTATGGCAATCTGTAGCTGTCCTCCTTTTTTGAGGTCTTAACCATAAGTTAACATCAGGTACAGTAAGTTGTTTAGAACTTGGCCAAAATAAACACAAGTTAATCCAGTTGTGTTTACGTTCTTCCATAAATGTGGTGAACAAGGTCTATGAAAGTAACGTGTATAATGCAATATTTGTGCTGCTAGGTGGATAAACAAGTGCTTGGTCAGAAGGCTATTACTGTGTTACAGATGGCTTTATTTTTCCCGTCAAACATTGATTTTTTGGAAAATAATCAATAAGTGGAATCGTTCATGGCAGGGAGATGTAGCAAGGAGAGGGTTAACAAGACTTCACAAGGATATTTGTCATCATTACATTACCAATTCCATTTCAAACTTGTAAGACAATCCCACCATCTTTTAGTGTCTTGTGTGTTACAGCTCGGTAAACATTAATGTCACAGCTGATGGTCACATTTAAAAACATTGTCCGAACCATAACTCTTGTACAGTACGTATTAGTAAAGAAATTTTAACAAAACTTTCCAGGAATATTTGTCATCTTTAGAAAAAAATAGTAATTACCAAATTTAAATCTCTGTCAAAGATTAAGTTCACAGGAAGACAAAAGGCCAAAACATTTTATGATGTATGTATTCATTCATGAAAATATAGGGATCCTCATATTGATACTTGGGTGTTATCTCAGCAAAGGTTCAAGGTTTGGGGGTTTAGACCTGACCACAGATATGCTCAGTTATTGGAGTGATGAATCTCGCATCTATGTTGGTTACACTTCAAAACTTGAGATTCACAATCCATTATAGTTTGCTTTAACATTTGTGAAGGAATTGTTAGATGCTTCCAGTATGGTGTACAATGAGAGACAAAAGTCGTGTCGTGAAATTTGGTGAAAACATATACAGATGGGCTGAACTTCTGGTGCTCTCTGCCTTGTGGTGGGAGCTCTCGTAATGTTTCACGAGTTATATTTAATCTTCGGACAAAACCGCGACACAACTTTTGTCTTTGATTGTACAGTGCAGCAGTGAGGAAATATATATTGTAGGAAATAAGCCTGAGTGAATACATTAACCAACATGATCAAAAAGAAGTAACTGTATTGTAACAGAAAAAAAAAAAAAGTACAGTATACACTACTATGTCTTGCAAAGTTAAATAGCAAGTTATAGGATTTCAGACTAGGTTAATAACAACAGAAATGTGAATCTCAAATACCTGTAATTTAAAGCATGTATTTTGCAATGCCATTAGAAACTTTTGCAACATCACTATACATGCCAACATTATAGTACTGTTCATTGTTTAGACCAATTAGTGTTAGTTTCACTCGAGTCGCTTTCACTGACACGACCGTTTCATGTGGCAAGGCTGTAGTATTTTACTGCTTATGTTGTGTTATGCTTAAGTAGTATTTAACATCTTAATGTGATTCCCCATGAATTTGGAAATGTAGGAATGTAACTGTGAATGTGTTATAATGTGTAGCAGTGTATCTCAGAATTAATTGAATGACTACAGTATACTTATATGTACAGTGTGACTTGGACTGTGTTACCAAGCATCTGCTGTTCTCACTGCCCGGTTGTGCAGGGTATAGAAGTAAATGAAGATATGAGATGATTCTGTATACCTATATTTTATTCCTCTACAGCAGTGGTTCTTAAACTTTTTTGCCTCGTGCGCCTGCATAAGTCCTAGATCCCACGCCCCTCCCCCCCTGCATAAGTCCTAGATCCCCACCCCCTGATGCAACCCTTGGTTATTATAGAGTTGGAGGGATGAGCAATCATGTACAAAACACGTTCAGTTTATGACCAGACTTTTCTCTCCAACCGCTCGCGTCCCCCAGTTTAAGAACCACTGCTCTACAGGTTCATGCACTCTCAGTCTCAACCCTCTCTTCACATGTTAGACATTGAATTTTAATGATGGCTAAATTATGTACTGTATGTGTGGATAGAAATTTTTTTGTTAAGCATACAGTATTAATAATTTTACACATCTTTAAAATCATTTATACTCTGTGCCAAGCTTGTGGATTTGCAGTGTTTTACAAGTTTTTTTTATTTATGCCAGAATGCCTTTCAGTTCATATAATAGCGTGATTTACTCGGCACTTTTGAAGATTATATCAAGTATTATAGGTGTAGAGAGAACACTACTTGTTAATGCCACCATAAGAAGTATCAAATCAGGAAGGTTGCACCAACATTCTTAGGGAATAAATAGGGTAATGCTGCATGCTTTAGAGATTCCTTTGTATTTTATGATACCATTACTTCCTTTTCCTACTAACATGTTTAGCATCACCCTTATTTTCCAGAACCTCGAGTACTAATGGGGTTACTACAGTACTGGCTCCCACAGCATCTACAAAACACTTGTCAACAATCAATACCTTTTATACTCTTATCTTGGCTACACATTTATTTCATTCATGTCACCAGACTGTACATTCATATTGGATACTTTCAAGGTTGTTTTCTGATGATCTTGCATTTATTCACATTATTCATGCACACCTACAGTACAGTGTATGTAATTATATATGAAGGTTGTAAGCAGTAATGTGAAATTTGATCAGAGAATTATGAAGAATGTAATTTTGTGAATTAGATTTTAAATGCGAGTTTATTAAAGATAACATTAACCCCTTGTGTACGGGTTCCCCTGTGAGCTGAATTAAGTCATCTGGTATTAGCCCAAATAAAATATCAAAAGTGGCGTCCCCGTTATGAAGGGAGTCACTCCATATTAAACTGAATAGGTGAGAGTTAATTTACAGAATTTCAAAGGATGTAAACTGATATGGATCCATTTATTCTCGATTCTTGTTGAGTGCAACAAAAGAATTCATGACTACAAAACTGCTATAGGTCTTTTTTTTAATTTTTAATACTACTACTACTGTACTGTAATTTAATTCACCAAATAGATTTTTATCTACTCTTGATCTTACACATTCACGCACACTTGTCTCCTCTTAGTGTGTCTTATGTCATGCCTTTGTCATATTTCACTGACATATAGAACAGGGTACTCATAATTACATGTAGACACATCCTAAAGACCATTGTCAGTACATATATAATGGTAGAAGTATTAGTGTAGGTTTGTTGATTGTTTCACTGAAAGTGAAATACAGTACAGTTTCTTGAATGATAATTTATACTACTGTATTGTAATGCTTATAATTAAGTATGTATTTAGTATCTTCTTGCTAACATTTATGGCACCATTTAGCTTTGTGCACCAGATTGATTTTTTATTTGGGGGGCATTTTATTGTTTTGTTTTTTAGAATATTTTGTTTACTTTTAATAACTGTGCAGAGGAACAATCCAGGTAAAGTGTTTGTCAGTTTTATATATATATATTATGACGGAATATTAGGAAAATATACACAGTATATATTTGAGTGTGACATACTGGTACTTTTACTTATTAGTCCCATCCAAGGGGTCAGATTAGACTGTGTAAACTTATAATTATTTCCATTTGTTGCACTTTTTACTGTCACCTTATTGGACTTTTATATGTTGGTTATTAATATTTCTTGTGTGTATTTGAGGAGAACCTTTCTTCAAGTATATTTGACTTGACTGTAACTAATATTTACTTGCTGATGTCTGCTAGGTCATTTGAGGTAAGAGTCTACCTTCATTATCAGGGTTAGTGTTGCTGGGACTAGTCTTACAATCGGTCTTCCTTCTTATCACAACCAGGGCCTTGTAAGCAACACAGTACAGGGCATGGTGGTTAGTGGGTCATAAAAATCCTGGTGGCATGTGTTTCACTGGGCAGATTGGATGTATACCTGGATTACTGATTCAGTTCCAGCCACACCTTGCAATTGCATGGCTGTTACCTGTTTTCTCTGTCTCCTGTTGGAAGCTGAGTGGTTTCTCCCATGTTGCTAGCAGGTGCTGTTTAATCCCTAACTTTTGTGTCAATAAGTAGGTGATTTGTGCTTTTATTGTTTTACATTGGTGTTTACTTTTACTTGATGACCCAGTTTGAGATTTACTTGTCAGGTGTGGGGTATTAAGGTACTCTGGCATCAGGCATTCCCTGCTGCATATCTCAACCTGTTTGAGAATAGCATGTCTGCCATATACGGAGGTTTCGTTCCCAGGCAGGAGATACCCTGTACTCTGGTGAGGTCTAAAGGAGAATGTCTAGGATAGGTCTCACTTTGGTGTGTAATTCAGTCCTACATGTAATATTCCCTCTTGTCTCATCTCAAAGAGGATTTTTTCATATGCTTTTGTGTTCTCTGGTGGAACATAATGGGACTATTCAAGGGATCTAATAGCCAGTTAAGTCTGGATTTGGCCATTCAGTGAGAATAGTCAGGTCTTGGTTCATTTTACACGAAAGTTGGAGCTATAGTCTTCAACAGCACCAATATCTCTGGGCCCAACTCCAAGGGACCTGTTACTTGGGTTGCAATCGGGAGGATTAGCAATCGAATGTTGTACTCCTATTTCCCGAGATGGTTTCATTTATCTTAACTCAATATTTGCTTGTTTTTCCATACAACTTAAAAATATAAGAGTATGGTACAGTATACAGTATTGCTTACTTGGTTAGAATTGGATTGTCTGAACTGTCTTCTTAATAGTTTCTAGTCACCAGATAGTTGATCACATGTTCAGTGCATTTATGAGTCTTGAGGAGCTGCCAGATCCTTTTCCTATACAGCATCCAGATTGTACATTCGCTTGCCTGCATCCATGAAACAGCTGACGTCTGTGGAGGCCTTTAAGAAACAACTTAAAACTTTTTTTTTTAAAGCTTATGATCCTGAACAGGGTACAGTGATTACAGAATTACAGGGTTTAAGAAGTATTTAAACTTATGGGTGTATGAATTTAAAAGTTAAACTCATTTTTTGTGATCTTTTATTGTAGTACAGAATTTCTTTACTTTGTAGTGTTTTGAGCACTAGTGAATTCTTTAGAAGAACTGGTGTTTTTGAGAAACAAAAGATCAGCTGCTATTATTATTTCTATATACTTCCACATAACTAAGAGCTTGTATTTTGAAAGTGCTGAAACTCTTGGTGCCATCACAGTATTTCAGATTTTATTTTGGTTAAGTATTTTTGTGTCCTTAGTCCAGCTCTTCCAGTTTATTTTGGAAATTTTGATCTTAATCTTTCAATCTTCACTCCTTAACTCTTAATCTGGCTTTTGTGTTCATATTTGACATCTTTGAAGTGAGCAACACAAACCTATTTGTTACTATTACATTATATTTTGGTACTCATACCTACCACTTACATTATTGAGTTTTATAACAATACTAAGTTTTTTTCACAGTCTGTAATATCATAAACTATTAACAGACTTGTACAGTACAGTATATGAAATTTTTTTTTAAAAACTTTCTTATTCATGCAGTGACTCCAATACCTGAGAGTTCCCCAATAGTGGAGAATAAACCAGGTGACGCAGTGTCTGCCATGTGCCAGGAACTTTCAGCTGGGCTCTCCCTTCTTTCCAATTTTTCGGACCCATTCTCTTCCCCGGAGAACACCTCACCTGCTCACAACTCCTTTACTACAGCGACTACCACTGTCACTAGCTATACTAATGTTGCCAGCACAGTGGTACAGAGTCATCATGGAATACCAACTACATCACAAGGAGGTATGGATGTCCTGTATTGTATTTGTTTTCTTAAGGGTCTTACTTTGAGTCCTGTACATTTAAATTTTTTATCTTTCAGTGAAGCATCCATTACAGTATATACCTGTACCAGTACTTGATTATCTTCTTGTGGGACCTTCATTTTAGTTCTTCCTGGTCTCCTAATGGGATAGGTTGTCGAGTATTTTTTGTAATGGCCTTAACATTTTGTTTCATAAATGCCAAATTTGTTTTTTGTTTTGTTTTGTTTTATGATTTACAGATTAATACAACATTATATTAAGTTAACTTTGAGAGATGAAGGATAATTATGTTACCTTAAAACCTCCTCCTATTCACTTAACCAGGGGGGGGGAGGGTTGGTGCCACTGTAATTTTGTATGCTGTACCTCCACTTCCTTTTCTGAAATAAGAAATTTTAACGTATACATAACTGAAGAAATTGGTAATAAAGGGACACGGTAGAAACTAGAAGAAAAATTCGATTAGGACTGTTGGTGTGAGAAAATCCAGAGCTTGCAAGTTTGTAAAACATATATTTTCCATGTTATACTGATTTAGGTGAGATTATAAAGAAATGTAAAGAGAATTTGCCACTTAAATGCTGCTTTATGGTGAATCACTTCATATTATGTTCAATATTAGTAACAAGGCCAAGGCTGAAGTTAAGTCATGTATGACCAAAGTGTGTACAGTTACTAATACCAGAAGGAAGAGAAACATTATTTTAATATTTGTGTGGTTTATATTATTTTTTGAGCTACTCTTTAAGTAGTAGCACTGCTATTTTTTATATAGCCCATAGGTACAGTCACCCGAAAAAGTCCTGTCGCGAACCACGAACCCCGAGATTCAGACTCGTGAATCCGAAGCAGTTGACACTGATACATTATTCTGTCCATAAATGCTTCGGATTCAAGAGTCTGAATCTCGGGGTTCATGGTTTGCGACAGGACTTTTTTGGGTGACTGTACATTAGTTTAACATCCCTAACTGCCCCTTGAGTTTTTGATATACAGTACAGTACTGTACTGTATTTTGTTATTCTAATTTTTTTTTTATCTAATGTAAATTTTACTTGTTTGAGTAACATTGTCCAGCTACATGCAGTGTTTATTTGAATTCATACTAGGGTATACTGTATACAGATATTTTTTCAGCAATTTGTATGAGTGTCTTACAGAATAGTAAATTATACTGAAGTAGAGATATTGGAAGTAGTAATACTGTACCTAATTTTCTGCCTTTTTGTGAGCATTGTGTTGTTGTTACACCATCAATAAATTTAGTTTTGCAGATTCAGGTTACTCATAATATTGAGAAAATTCTGTGCTCAGTACTGTTTTTATATATTTTTTGGCTTTTTCCAGTCTTGCTGCCATCTGTTGAACCAATTCATGAAGAAAGCCCATGGGCTGGATCAGACATCAATGGCCAGCCCTTAAGTTTAGATGATCCGACAGGAGCTGAAACTAAAAGGTCACTAGGAGAAGAATGGCTTTCTCAGTTTAATACACAGCCTAAAATTACTAATGGGACCACAACACCACCACCAGGGTGAGTTGTATGTGACTTTATTTTATATGCAGTACAGGGGTTCCCCGGGTTATAAACAGGTTCCGTTCCTGAGGACGTTCATAAGTCAGATTTGTAAGTAAGTCGGAACACATGCTATATGCATACCGTACGTTCCCAAAGAAAAAATAAATCCCACTATATCATAGCCTAAGTCCTTATATACATCTAAAATCACTTATGACAGAAAAAGAAATAAAATGACAAAATACAGTAAACAAAAGTAAAAAAAATGGTAAATAAAATACTGTAAATTTCAAGTTTAACTCCGTTCGTATCGGCGGGCGTTCGTAGGTCGGGGACCTCTTGTATATCAGTTGGCAAACTGCATGCCATAATGCCACATATTACATACTGCATTGTCTTATTTATAACCTACATCAGGGTTAAGCAAGTCTGTATAGCCAACAAGTCTAGAAGTCATAACCCCAATATCCAAAGCCCCAACTTGTGACTGTGATTTGAAAAACAAATATTTTTTTATAATTAGATTATTCCACATCTTCATACTGGAATCCCAAAGGCCATTCACTTGGTAAGAAATTAACCACAAAGGGAGAAGGCCTTGGTGTTGTACAAGGTGAGGTACTTTGATCTGTTCATTTATTGACTGGTTACAGGTGCTCAAACCTGATCACCCTCCTCTTATCTCTAAGCAGCTAGGATGTTCTGCCCCAACTTTGACAGACAGCTAATTGTTATTTTGGGGGCATTAAACATTTGCTTAAGGTACAGTATTGGTAATTATGTAGGATTGTTGTCGAAGTGTGCACCATGCTGATGACATAAGTGATAGTTTCCAGCTAGAATAAAGCTGTTCAACTAATTAGACTTGTTAATTTCCAATTTAAAAATAAAGTAGATTTTCAAAAATACCAAAGTTTAACTTTAGTATTTTTACAATACAGTATATTATTTATATTTATTCATGTATTTACTTCATCATCTCAGTTTAAAAAATATTAAATTCAATTCTTGTAAATTGAAATTCAAAGTGGTGGGTCCTATAGGCATAACTGCCCATTAAGGACAGTGTGGATACAAAACACTGTACAGTATATTAAGGCTTCAGTACACAAGGAGGCAGCATGGTCGGTACTGCTCTTGACTGCCTTCACTTCCCCAAGTTGTAAACTTAGATACCCATTTTCAGCTGGGTGAACTGGGAGCACCCGGGAATCGAACCATTGATCCCTGGAACATGAGGCGAACGCTGTATTCACTTGTCCACTTTGCCCATAAAATAATTTCCCCAATTTTCATGTTAATTAGTCAATTCCAGTCAGTTTTAGATACTGTAAGGTTTTTGTGCAATGTGTAGTTATACTCCAGCTGCTGAACCATTTCAACATTTTGATTTCCTGTTTAAAGACAAAAGGTTTCAACAACATTTAAAAAAAAAAAAAAGATTTTTGCCTAACATCTTTGATAAAGGTACAGTACTTCCTGTAGTAGCTAATGATCTTTAATGTGACAAAGTAAATCCTCGGTGGTCCAGACTTCAGTTAATCAGACTTGCCTGTTGGCCTGGCAACTTAATGGCTTTAATTACAGTTTATCTGCTACCAATGAATAGCTCTTAGGAAAGATCCTCAAACCATTTCTGTTTTTCCAAGTTTTAACTAATTAAAGTGTTTAAAATGGATCCCCAAGAAGAAAAGAGCAAAGGAAAATGAAAATGTGTATAACTGTAGCAAATGATTTATAAATAATATGAGAAGCTTTTATACAGCTTTGGTGGAGCAAATATCATGCAATAGTTTGGAATATCTAAACAAACAGTGTCTGATATTAAGAAAAACAAAGACATAATGAAGCAGCTTCCTTCGAAATATGACATTGGTTATAAAAATGATAGTATGTAACACTTTTCCTTTATTCATTGTTCAATACAGGCTCTTTCCAATTTACAAAATTGTTCTTTTCCTGAAAAACCTATGCAAATTGATTTTCAGCAAATCAGATCACATTTTCCCATAGACTCCCACTATAAAAAACTGAGATACAGTCCTACAGAAGAAAAAAGCTTTTACCAAAACATCTTAAAAGGCTACAAAACATGTTCTTAATGATATTTATTGGTGTACATAAAGATTATATTCCAATAATAAATACTGTATAATAAGTAAAATGCATGTACAGTATTGGGAGACAGGGAAGTTCTAAGAAACTGCGCCATACACATACTCACAGACTCAGTTGAAAGTTGTTTTACGTAAACAACAAAATAAAGAAACTGATTTAAATAAAAAATCGGTACAGTAAGTCCTCGCTTAATATTAAGCGGATCAATTTTCCCCATAAGAAATGTATAAAATACGGGAGTTACGTTCCTGAGTCTCCCATTGCCCCATGAAATACTTTACATATACAGAAATTCAATGGCATTTTTATAGAAAATAGTACGTATATAAATAAACTAAATAATTTTGTATTGTACTCAGTGATGGACAGAGGTGGTGGAGCGAGTGTGTGGTGGGTAGTGGAGTGGAGGAGGAGGGTGGAGAGTCACTGAGACCCGGCGAATGGCTGCTCCTCCCAGTTTAAAACATCCATTTTCAGGCTAATGGTCTTATGTTGCTTCTTCACAACACTAGCATCAGTAGCACTTGATGGGCACTTGGAAGCCATTTCGAATGGTAGAGTACAGTACAGCTCCTCCCCAACTTACGACGGGGTCAGGGACCCAAATCCAGGTCATAAGTCGAAATGGTCGTAAGTCGAAAATGGTTAAATAATGCATAGAAAATCTAAAATGGGTCTCTTTTTCTTCTCAGCACCACAAAACTCTCACTTTTATGCTTGTCAGCTGTTTTAAAGTGAATTACAAAATTTTTTTTTTGTCGGTACACAGCGCAATCACTGACGTTAGGACTCGAAAATATGTAATCTGACAAAATTTTGGTACAACTGAGGCTGTTGTATGTCCGGGTGGTCGTAAGTCGAGTAGGTCTTAAGTCGGGGAGGAGCTGGATTTAGAGCAAAAACACTTAAGCACACACGAATGATGTGGAAGCATAACAGAGACTGGCTTGGCGTCTCTTGGGGATGCTGTGATGTTCTGCAAGTGAGAGGTAGCGCTCCGAGCCGAGAGAGCGTCTCGCGACCAGACGAGAGAGGGTGATGCGCTGTAAAAATCGGTCCGTGACGACACAAAAATTACGTTAAATCGAGTCGTCGAGATGTTAAACGAATTATTGGTATCTAAAGAGTAGCGACGTAGTACCGAAACAAGGTTAAGCGGGGCGACGTTATACGAAGACTTACTGTATAGTCTATTTAGAAGTTGAGAATTCCCTAAATGTGAGTTAAATGGGTTTTTTGAGGTTCTAGAAGTTTCTAGCGATTCATGACATTTACTGTATTGTCTTGTGGAATAAATAGCTCACTGCCTTCATCATCTTTATTCATATTTATTTGTATGAATAAGATGCATGTACAGTATTACTATTTTTTCCACATAGCTTTTGAAATTAATATTGGTCAAACAACAAAGATTTAAGGTACTGGTTACTTATGCCAGTTAGTATTTGATCTCAAATAGGCCATATGAGAACAAGCAACAGACATTTCAAAGATAAATAGTCGCATGTTCATATTATACTATACTGTATGTTACATTTGTAAAGGTCCAGTGTTAAAGCTGTGATATATGGAGATTACCAGTACATCATACTTTATGTAATATGCTCAGACATTTACTTACATTAATGGTTTCTTTTATCGTAGTTTTAAATTTTTTAATGATTTCAGATCACAGCCAGTTAATAATGTAATTCTTAGCCGACGCAACCCACCTTTGGCCCAAGTAAGGTCTGCTTCCTTAGGTGCAACACCAAATGCAGGCACCCCATATGTAGCTGTTGGCACAGCAAGAGATCCCATGAGTTCTTCTTGGACCACTTCGAATGGTACTGGTGGTACAGCCACAACAAACTTTGTAGTAGGAACTACAACTACAAATTCTTCTGGGACAGGGGGATCCGATCCCTTTGATGCAGAATGGGCAGCCCTTGCTACACGTAATGCCAATCCTAACAACCCTTTCCTGCCAAACACTGTCACCAAGGCATTTGAGGTACAAATGTGAATTTGAATATCATATGTTTTAAAAGGCATTATTTCATATAGATTTTGAAGGAGGACATATTTCATTGTTTGCTATCAAAATATACAAATATTGTTCATTAGATATTTGGTTGTATGTTTATCATAGACGTTTAAGATGCAAAATGTATCGATTTGCCAAAAATGCACACAGATCTTAATACAGGTACCATATGTAGTTGATGGATGAACATGTCTTTTATTTTTTAATTCATCTGTGTGTGTGCAGTGATGAGATAATCAAATACTGTATATGACTAAATAAGTAGGCAAATTTTGGCTGATCATAAATTGTTGAGGGTCATTCTCAGAGGACATTGGATATTGTGAATTCTTAAATATGCCTGTTTAACATTCCAGCACTGTTCACAGGTATCAGATGTAGCCGAGTGGCTGGTGTACTTAAGATTTTAATCTTTTGGCAACTTCTTAAATATATTCCTCGAGTACCTTTAAAGTACTGTATAATTATATTTTGTACTTAAATCATACAGAGTGAGATGTCTAAATATTTAGAGAATGAACTGAATAAATGAATTTGATGCTATTTTTCAAATGAGATGTGTACCATATTTACTCACACGAACAGAAGCAAAAAGTATGTTGATGTTTCTATATTAGTAGCATTTGCACAGATTGTATAGTTGCTGTATGTGTAATGTAATTCAGATGTACTTTGTATCTGTATATATATAAATTTATATATATATTTGTCGTACCATATTGGTAATGCTATTTTTTCCATTTGTCATTTTCAAGGCAGTTCTCATGAGGGGTAATGATAATGATGAATACACATGATTTTTTCTGCACTCTTTTTCATACTTTGTTGTTTTTATGACATGACAACATTATGAATACACATTCTTCTGTGAGTGGACTGTGGTAGTGAAGACAGGCAAGGCTCACAATAACAGAAATAATGTATATCTTAGTTTAGATTATGACATTGGTTTGGCAGTGTTCTTACATTTGTTATGTAAATTTAATGACTGTTCACTGCTTACCAAGTGTGTGCACACTGACTCAGTTCCAAAATGTTTGACATAAGAAGTGCAATAGTAAGTGACACTTGTTGAGAATACCTCATAACTTAATGTGCTGGCATAATTAAATGTGTAAAGGTGTTCTTTGCTGGCAGCAGTTGTTGTTGGTTCCAGTGTTTTAACTATGGATAAAAGTTTGTCCCTCTATTTTATGTATACACAGACGTGTGTGTGTAACCCTCATGAGAGATAGCCTTCTGGGGTATTTTCTGATAGTTAAGCATACATTCAATATTGAGCATAAGAAGGACTTGAGTCAGTGCTAATTTTCTTGCAGTTGTCCTCCCAGCCATGTGTTAGGATGTCCTTTTAAATTTTTAACAACTGAGAATCCTACTATGAGAAATGTGCCCATTTATTCGCTCGGAAGAGTAACGCTCAGATCCTGTTAAGTAAAGAATTTTTTTTTATATAATTTTTTTTTAACTCTTAATTATTGCCTAATTTTTGCATTTTGTATAAAGGATACTAAGGTCGTAACAAATTCACATTATCCACCAAATAAATGTTTTCACTGTTCAATAATCATGAGAGACAAACTGGATAAACGGAAAGATACTGCATTACAGTACTGTGTATGTAATTTTGAGAATACTCGTCCTTTTGGTATTGTTAACTAATAATTCAGATTTAACCAGTCCTATTTATGGGGTGATGGTGGCTACAGTGATAGAATGTATATAAAGACTTTTATTATAGAAAAAATGTGTATTAGTTGAAGGTGTGTTTGTAAACTATTAGATTGTGGTATCAACATTTACATCCTGTTATGTTTTAAATGGATCATGTGGCTTGTTGAATAGGATAAACTCTACAAAGTGTGACTGTTGTGAAAAAAAACTACAGATAGTGTTGACCAATCTCTTTGATGGCATTGCACAACTACTTGAAAATGAAGAGTTGCCAGTAATGTATATTTTAAACTATTCAAAAGCTAGTTCCTTCATTTGTTTATAATTTTGGGTTCCGTGGGAAAGTAAGAGCCATTCATTCGTGGTAAGTGTCCTATTGCTTGTAACGTCAACACACTTTACATATTGTTATTCCAAGTGATGTTGATTCATTATGATTCCTTTTGTAAGTATTTGATGCTTGCAATTTTTAAGAATATATTTTTATATTTTGCACTATGCTCAAAGTTGTAAATGCAGTGCAGTTCTCTAATTCCTTTGCTGGTATATTAATTTAGGGCCATGTTCAGTTGAGGCACTAAAGTTAGCTGAATACATTTTATGATATATTGAAGCATTGGGTGAGAATCATAATTTCTCTCACACTGTTTGAATTTGTTGAGTGTAGATACCATATACATCTGATGAATTCAATAAGTTGAAACAGTGCATTGAGTGATAGTGTGATTTAATGCCGAGTGCTTTAGTTGTTAGCAAGGACCTCGTTAGTGGTAATATTGACCCAAGTGCCTCTTGAACATCACCCAGATATTACAAATGGTGGTAATAGCATATCATGATTTTATCATCAGTAGTTCAATACATTCCTTTTATGATTTCTGTGATAGATCTGGCATAATATGCATTCACAATTAATGTAAGAATTTATGTATTCCAGAATGTAATGCATAAATGCTACTGTCTTTGGAATAGGCCTTCAGTAATGAAAAATATGTGTAAAGTAAACTTCATAATTTTGCTTTAACCATTCAGATTTAATATTTCGGTATACAATAAGGTAAGTGCCATGAGAGGACAAAACTTTTTATTCATGTAAATGCTGTATAAGTGACTTAATTTTATTTGTGGTAATAAAAGATAAAACTGGCCTGTATTTATGTAGAAATAGAGCAGTTTAATTTGAGATATGGAGTAGAACATTTGGATTTATTTTTCAAAGTTTACTATGTATTTTCTCTATTATTTACAGTATCAAAACGACAATTGTTTACTAGAAATATAAGTAAATTAAAGATAAAAATATGTATAGTTGATATTGAAAAGTAGTGAGGAGCCATTAATTTTACCACATCAAACTCATTACCACATCAATCTCATTGTTTTTAAAATATTACCAGAAATTTTTACTTCAGACAAAAGGCACTGTAATAGCCAGTGTTTGAAAATATAATATTATCAAAGTACTGTATGAAAATGTATATATAGAAGAGCTTTTTAATTTGCATTTTATTTTCACAACGATTTGTAAATATGAAATTACAATGGTAATCATCAGGTTTGTTTGAATAAAATCAGGCATTTCATTAAAAAAAATTATATGCTCATGACCACCTCTGTCAATCACTCAAAAATGGAAATTTTTATTTGAACAGTAATATAATGCTTAGACTGAAGTAAATGTTAAGTTTCAAATGTATTTACCTCATAATGTAGTGACCTATGTGCCATGCAGATAACCTGACACACTCACCGCAGGCAGATTTGGGGTGGAGCATAATTTTAGCACTGAAGTGAAATTCAACGTGCCTGATGACTGCCAGTGTGGGAGTTATCGCTTGATGCTGTGATTGTTGAGTAGCTTATGCGGTGACGGGAGGTTTATTACCCTGTCATTTTTATGGAGAATACCCAATGATGCTGTACAGTAGGTATTAAGGGGAAGTCATGTCCACATTAGAATATATTCTACTGTCAAATAGATGTTTCAGTATCCCTTGATGTGTTCATAATAGAATAAAACCTTTTGGCCTCATGTCATCCACATAAGCATTTTCATAAGTCCATCAGTGTGTGTGACCTGTGATTTTTCCAGCACAACAAATCCCTCATGACAAGATTCCCTCTAGTCATGGTACAAAAACCATCAGCAGAAAGCATTATCTTAGAAACAGTGCAATTGCTGTAAAACTGCTACTTACACACATGTCTAGAGCCTTAAAAGATATTAATTGATTTTGTGTTTATTTCTAATGATTATCTCTAAATTTTACCAGAGATACCAGGTATATTGGTGTTTCCCACTTCATGCAGACAGCATTCCAAGAACGTTACTGACCCCAAAAATAAAAATTTCTAACACTATTTACTACAGGTATCCGTCGTTAAGCGATTGGGATGCATTCTTGAAAAACAGATTGCTAAGTGAACAGAAACAAGAAATAATATCCAAAACAAGGAATAATATGTGGAGATGGCACGTAATTGTGTAGCCGAGTTGCCGACTGGCCACCCAACAGCACTCAGAGCAGGTGAGGCTGAGCTGTGAGCTATGTTATTGTTTAACTTGTAATTTCGGGTAGATATTTATAATTTTCTTCATTTTCTTTTACTCTGTTACATGCACACACAATCATTCATACAGAATATGCAAATAAATAATAATTATTATAAGGTCAAAAACATAAACGGAATACAAACAGTTCTTACGTGGTCAGCAGACAGAGCGAGGAGTGGCTTGGGATTTCTCGACTGTTCTCTGTCTCGTCCTGTGAAATGATTGCCAAATGGCAATGCAATATATTTTTTATTTTTTTTTTTTATTTACCTTTATTTGTTTCTCACATTTACTGGTAAAGTATACAGTGATCCCTCGGTTAACGAATTACCTTCCATAAGAATCTTCAATTCGGTTAACGAACAAAAATTCGGTTAACTAAATTCTTATTAAATCATGTCAACATGTTTTCGCTTGCTCACCAGCTGGAATATTAGTCCGCCAATACAGTAATCGGTTCCAGGGCTTAAAATCGTTCTCATTTGAGTAAATATCAAGAAGGTTGTACTATTCAATAATTTTCCAAGTTTTATATTAAAATTTTTAGTCATTTTGTAACTTATTTAACATAATTGGAGTACAGGAAACTAGTTTTTAGTGTGCCAATCAGCCACTTGACTTACCCACCAAGGCGTCAGTTTGTATCTCTGGTCAGTGGAGGTAACATCTTGCTTGTGGCTCTCTTGAACATAAACTATATCTTTACGTTTTTACAGTACAATTATTGGTCATTCTGAAATTTATTTAACATATTGACAATATATAGTGCAGTGCAGTGTTGATTTAAAGAAAATAATCTTGAATTACACCTAGTGAATTTAAAACTTTATGGGTGAAATGACGCATCAAGCATGGGGTGATTTCTCTTCCACCCCCACTTCCTTCTCTTCTCCCTTCTCCTCCACCCCCACTTCTAATTCCCATCATCATCATCATCAACCAGGAGCCTTCTACATACACACCTCAAAGTAATTGTACTTTACTGCATTTATTTTTAGTTTGTATGTAATTTTCGGTGAGCTGGAACCAATTACCCAAAATCCCATTGAAACAATGGTTTCGGTTCACGAAATTTTTGGTTAACGAGCGACCTTCTGGAACAAATTGTGTTCGTTAACAGAGGGACCACTGTACATGTGACATAGTTCATCCGGGCAGTCACCAAGCTGACTCATGAGACGTGTGTGGCTGTTACCTGTATGGCTGTTAACTGTATGCTGTGATGTCACATAGGGGGGAGAAAGAGTGGAGCTGGCCACAGTCACTGCCTCAATACAGTAGGGTCGGGATATATCGTGAGATAAGATCCAACGATGTTCGCTATATACTAAATAGCGATATGTAATTACATGTAATCAATGGGAAAATTGGGTTAGGTTCTGGAGGCCAATAAAAGTAACTAAATTTGACATAAGTAAATTTTCTTACTAACTAAAGCACCAATGAACACTAGACTCGGGAACAACAGGCTGCAGCTGACGCACCATCCCAGGAACACCAGACTCGGCAACAGACGCTACACTGCCACCCCTACTTGACAATGCCACACCTACATAAACAAACAAACCAAAAATATTAGTTACAGTATTAAATCTTTTCAATTAAGCTTTCCATTTACTTCACTTTACTTTTCATGTCGCTAGCAATCCATTTACACTCGCCTTAGAAGTCATAATCTGCAGAAGAGTCAGTTGCTTATTTGTCACTCACTCAGAAAGACTGAGCGGGCGAGTGTGGGTGAGCAGCCATGGTGGCGCCTCTGGTGAGCAAATAACACATTTGTTTGCCATGGCGGTACATTTAATATATTTCCCTCGCAAAATAAATAAATGTATCTATATATATTGGAAAATGTCGATAATTTTGGCAGTCACTATATAAAAAGATTGTTATAAAAAGTTGCGATATATCCTGACCCTACTGTACAGACCTTCACTTCCCACACATTCACACCCATGCTCATCATTTTATAGTTTAATAGTGCACTGTACTATAAAACTATAAAATACTGTACTGTATACAGTACAGTATAGTATTTTCTTTATTTGTAAGTTACATTACAATATTGTAATGATGACATGTGGAGCACAGAATCGCCAGTTTTCCAACTTCCCTCCCAAATTTTTCCCACCGAGTCGAAGATTGATATACAGAAAATTGTAAATCGTTAAATAACATAGTGTTTTTAAATTTTTAAAAAGAAATATCACTGAATAAACGATTGCTAAACGACGACTACGTGTACAAGCAAATATCCACTCATGAAATAAATGGAAAAGTTAGCCAAAATTCATGTAGAATAAGTGGGTTTTTAACCCCTTGTGTACAGGGCACCCTCTGCAGAATAAAATAGTCTGGTGTTAGCCAAACAAAATATTAACACTTAAGTTTGAGTAGGCGCTCTCCCACGAGATACTAGGGATCTAGTTTGTTACTCACCTCACTGCACTTGACTGTGCTACACAAGAGATATTACATATGCTTATTGAGATAAAAAGGCGGAATTTGTTTCATCAGCATTGTAAATAAATTATCTACAAACAGTTTTACACAAGTACGTAATCACAATAAAATATTTATTTCTACAGTATACGTAAGTGCAAGTATAAGGCACGTGGTGCAATCTCCTTGCACTTTTTATGTCTTCCCTCCCCTCCACCTTTGTCAACAACACGAGGCATGGTTCATAACTCTCAACACTGTTAGGAATAAATTAGATCACTGTAATGAACGAGAAATCGGCACAAGCTGCAAGAAAAGGGAGACTGGTGTGGTAACATAACATTGGTGGGCTGTCTACACAGTTGTCGGAACGCTCCGACATTGCCAGATGTGCGTCTTGCGTATCTAGCATTCATACATAAAACTATTAATTTTATTTCATATGCAAATTTGCGTATGTAATTACATCATACGCAATATTGCATAAGAAAACCCCAAGAGTATTAAAACTGGCCATCTTGTAGTGAAGGGGTTAAAATATTCTAAATCATTTGTAATTAAGTCAGGGATCATTAAATAAAACTAATTATTCAAATTAGAAAATTTTCAACACATTCTTAACCAGTATGTTGAGTACTGTAGTACCATTGTATAAAATTTTAACAAAATTTAAATCTTGACCATTCATGCTCAAAAGCCAGGTACAGTATAAGGTAATATTTCAGTAATATAGAATAAGTTTTACATTTAAACACATTAGTTAACTTGGTTTTCATTTTGCTGAAAAATAGCAAGTTTGTTGGAAAACTAAAATAGAGATATATCAAGGGTACATGGGAGTTTTGGGGGGTTGGCCGGTCCCTAATCCCCTGATTTTTTTTATAATCCTATGGGATTATATACTTCGGTAACCATTGATTCACTATCCAACGACTTTTCACAGTCCATATATGCGTCGATTAAGGGGGTGCACCTGTATTAAGTTCTGATAAATACGCTACAATATTATTTACTAAGTGCTCAAGACAGATCCATTGGTAAGCACCGAACTTCTTTGGTAGTGACAACAACAGCGGTGCTTGAGAGCTGGTGAGTGCCGGCAACATTATTAGGGAGCGGGACCGTTCATCTGTTACCGCTCTGTAAACAAGAGACTGAAAATATACTGTGGCGCAATAGCTCATCTGGGATTGAGTTTGGGATTTTGGGGGGAAAATTAATTATTTTTTTATAATGTTTTATTAACTCTGCATCAAATAAACCTTAATAATATGGGAATTATAGTGAACTGCATTCTGTTGTTATAAAAGGATCACTAGCTGCCAAATAATTGGTGGTGATTTGTCCTCCTTCCCTCCTCTGCCACCTTCTCTCTGTGGCTACACACCAAACATGTTTTGTACAGCATATTAATATAATTCACATTCATCTAATTCATTCATCTTAATCTATTTCATAATATATTCCTATAATAATAATCGACTTTTTGGAACCGCTTGGTTATTTCAGATTCATTCCAAATTCATATTGTTTAATTCACTTTTTAAAAATCTACAAATTAAGCTGAACATCCACTGATACAAATGGGGTTAAACTTGAAATTTACAGTACTTTATTTACCTGATGACTTATTTTTTACTTTAATTTTCTGTATTTTGTCATTCTATTTCTTCTTTTGTTTTAAATTAAGTGATTTTAGATATATTTAAGGACTTAGGCTATGATATACTGTAGTGGGATTTTAAATATTGTTCTGTAAGTACGGCCTGCATATAGCATGTGTTCAGACTTACGTACAAATCTGACTTAAGAACGTCGTCAGGAACGGAACCCATTCATAACCCGGGGGCCCCTGTACTGTATTTAAAAAGTCAAATATGCTGTGTACATAGGTTTTAAATCACCTTTATATACATTTTTTTCAGTTAAAAAGAATAACTTTACCCTTTTGACATGTTAGTTCTCACCTTCCAGAAAAAA